ACTTCATTTATGATATTTCTAAAAGTTATCTAATAAAAATACTTCTTATTTTGTAGCTGCTGTATTCCTTCTTTTGCATAGAGCTTTGTTTCTAATGGAATCACGTTTATTAGCCATAAAGTTCGAGTATGTGTTAACAGGTATTTCTTCCGTTTGGTCATATTTCAAGCTTCAGTGCTCTTGAACTTTCAAGATCGTTTGATTCCTTCGTTATTCGCATGACTGTAATTTGATGGGCGGTCGCTGGAGAAGGTTTTATTCGAGATTTCGTCATAACATTATTCACGTTTTACTTTTATGTGTTTTCTTTAATTGTTGAACGTGCTTCTTTTTATGTATTTTAAAGCAGGATTTTTTTTAAATATTGTAATTACGGATGATAAACTTCACTTTTGGTTTCACTAGACGTAAAGTGGGTCTAAGTACCCATTTCCTAAAATAGCTGCAAATTGTATTTTTCTTTTTTACAGGAACTACGACAAGAGAATGATGTGCTGATCGAAACGAAGAATATGCTTGAGGATCAGATTGGAAATTTGCGACAGCGTCTTCTACAAAGCAGCACTTGTGAAGCAGAGGTGCTTCGCCTTCAGAGGATGATTTCCAATTTACAACAGGTTTGTTTTGTTTAACGATGTTTTTGCCAAGAAGAAGAGTGATGTATTTCTTTTAGGACATGAAGATGGAACATGAAAGGATGGACAGTGTTCTGGATGACAACAGCCGGTTGCAGAAGGAGTTGCGTGAGAGTATGAAGAAAGCGTGCGATCTGGAAAGAGAATTGGACAGAATGAAATCGCCAATAGATTCGCCAACGTTCAACGACGGCGCGGTGGCCAGGTCGATTTCTGATCAAATGAACGATTCACTGAATTCGAAACTGTTACGACTGGAATTGGAGAACCAAAAGCTTCAGGGGAAATTGGATGAATGCAAAGAGCATCAGCCATCGACTCTCAGCGTCTACAAGGCCGAAAACGAAGAACTTCGCCAGACAGTGAACGCTTTAAGGGAACAAAACGCAAAAGACTCGTCGAAGATGTCGAAACAGCAGGAAAGCAATCTACAACTTTTGCAGACGGTCAATCGTTTGGAGAAGGAACTGCAGAGCCGCGACGAGCAGCACCGCTTCGACGTAGAACAGCTTAAAGCGGAAGTGGCTCAGAGCTCGTCCGACAAGGCTTCTTGTATCGAGGCGGCGTTGGCGAAAACTAAGAACGACTTAGAAACAGCGAGGACACGGTCAGACGATCTTGAGGTACAGAACGATCAGCTGAACAGCAAGAACCGAGCGCTGGAGAGCGAAGTACTTCGACTGAAGTCGGACGTGAACCAGCTGCACGATCAGCTGAATGTGGCGATTAGCGACCGATCGACCCTCGAGGGACGCCTGTCGAGCGTCGAGCGCGAGAACCGGTGTCTTGAGAAGGAGAACTTGAAATTCAAGCATCTGCTGCAGTGCAGTGACGCCGAGTCCGAGTCTCGCCGGTCCCGTGTGGTGGATTTGGAGCGTCGCGTCGAGGAGCTGTCGTCATTACAGACTGAATGCGTCGAACTGAAGAAGGCGCACGGCGAGGCTGAGGCGGATAAGAAGGCTGCCTATCAGCAACTAGATATCGAGCGACGAAAGGCGACCGCTCTTGGCGACGACCTGATCAATGAGAAGCGACGGTGTCGACAGCTCGAGGACCACGTCCGATATGTGCGGTCCTGCCTGAGTCTAGAACCGCCCGGCTCGAACGACGACTTCGATCAGTTCAATGAATGTGTCGCACGTTGTGTCGCCGATCTGCGCAACCAGATCCTCGCCCTACAGAGCCGATGTTTGCAGAAGGAAAAGGAGATCGAGCAGCTGACCGACTCCAATGCCATCGCCTCTGTCCCCGTCGCACCATACGACCACTCGGGTAATGGCAGTAGTGTGGACGATCGGACCCAACGACCGACCACCGACAGCGAATCCACTGCTAACGCCGCTGCCGCTGCCGTTGCCGCCACCGCCGACTTGACCAACAAAAACTTCTTGCTGATCGAGGAGAACCGCAACGTCCGCCACCAGGTATTCATCCTGCAGGATCAGATCAAACGGTTGCAGGACGACGTCCGTACTGTCAGGAATGAAAACGCGCTGCTGCGACAGCAGATACGGGATCTACAGATTCAGCTGGTAAGTCTGCGATGGATGGTAGCAAGATTCGTAGGAAGAAAGATGCGCCCTATGCATTCCTCTATTGTGGGTTTTGTTCAGATCGTCCTCCGTCGATGTCGCCATAATCCGTGTATAAATTTTAACAAAACTCCAATTTGTAGCAATAATTGCTAAAGTCAACGTCAAGAATGTCCATGCGTATCGTGAAATGATCTACGTATTGTAGAAACGTATTGTAGTTTTATATAGATAGATAAACATAGAGGGATTTTGATGTCATTCGATTTCGGTCTTCCTCACCAACTCCTCAGTTCTTTTCTTCCCTATTAATGACAAGTACTCGCCGCTCCCTGTTCAGGCTTTCACATACCATTGTCTAAAGTGTATGCTTTGATCAGCAATTGCATATTATGATAACTGCTACTAATTTGTTAATCAAGTGTTAAGAGTACCAAACAAAGCCGTTTTTGCCAGCATCCGGCCGTCTTCACTGCCCTACATGAAATGGTGTAGTTTTATAGTGTGGTAGCGAAACGACCCAGTCCGTAGTCGAGAACAACCTATTCTGCTTCTTCTAAACCTAATCATAATACGCACAAATTTGAAGAAACTTTTAGCTGTGGGAAAATATCGATAGGAGAAATGATTTTATTCATATACACATTACATATATTGTCGACCAAGGGCTGTCAGGTCCTTTGTCTCGCATTGAGAGCCGCATGTTCATTATTGTAATAGCCATTATTACATATACTGCCCAGTTGTAAAATCTGATTTGCTGGTAGGCACTGATTTTCGTTACCGCCGGTTAGAGCGATATATGCGTGTTAATTTTCCCGATTTGTCTTTCGTGATGCCTGCTCTCTTCTAGCAACCTAGGCAGTCATTTATGTACATGACGGCTCCATGCCATTATGGCACCTACGTCGCGTGTATGCGTCAATTTGGTGGATGCACAGTGACCTCATTTGACCACCGACCAATAGTTATTTTATCCGGAAGCATATATACAAAGATAATGAATCCTATATACTGTATGTCCTAATGTATTGATGCATAACTCCTCAGTCGCCATTTTTCGCGACATATTGCAACGATTACGTGCTCATTGATTCCTACGGAGCTATTTCAATGAGTACGCTCCATTGTATCTCAACGTCTGGTGGTAGTAGATGCCTGTTGGGTGATTTCGTTCCTTAGAGCAATCTCATGTCCTCACGAACAACGTTTTAGGAGCTGGGCTCCTTATATGCTTCCGTTTGAACATCGAAATTATGTTGTACTCTACGGTGCTCTAGTTGGTGCATAATTTTTCTCTTGCTAGACATTTCGGCGTATTTCATCACCCCGATGCTCCTAGTTTTCCTCCGGGTCAGTTTAAATGGCCCGAGTTCCTGTGGTGGACAGAGCTATTTGTCAACCTTCTACCACTATGACGTGGTAAAAGTTTTATAGTATATTT